AAGTCCCCCTGGCCAGTTTGGGTCAGCTGTCCTGGCTGTGCCCCCTCCCAGCTTCTGGTGCACCTCCAGCCTTCTCAGTCGGTAGAGCATGGGAAGCTGGAAAGTCCTTGACTAGTGTAAGCACTACCTAGCAACAACTAAAACATGGGTGTGTTATCAACTTTGTTCTCACCCTAAATCCAAAACACAGCACTGTACCAGCCACTAGGAAGAAAATTAACTCTATCCCTGCCGAAACCAGGACAAATGTCTTGTGTAACTTTTTTCCTCTAGTTTTCTCCAAACATTTGACAGGAGAGGAAGTGTAATTCTTTAAAGGATTTAAAGTATAAATCTGTTTCATTGTTTCTGTGACCCAGTCTTTCCCATAACTTCTTCTGTGGGAATGCACAATTTAATCTGTTAACTGATCCAAGGGAATATTGTTTAGGGTAGTTGCATTAATTTTGTTTGCCACTAACGTAATTTTTTGTTCATATTCTTGTTCGTTCTCTTTGAATTATGCCCTGTTCTTCTTTCTTCATTCAAACACACAGAGTTCAAGAGTCAATTTATAGGAGCTTTCAAAATTACCATTTAGTAGAAAATCTGTTGTGGCTTTACAAAATAAAAAATATGTTGTTGATACACATTTTAAGTAGACCTGTTGTGAGTGTGAAATAAAAATCTATAGTAAGATTTTCTACTGTGATATCTCTATTAAAAAGTTCTTCTTTGTGTAATGCTTCATAGTGAAGTTGCTTCTATTTAAAGCATTTAGTTTGAGCTTGGCTTTGATCTAAAGCTTTTGATGTTGAAAGAAGGATGTTGTGGCAGTAAAACAAAAAGGGTAGGAGAGAGGTTTTTTCTTTTTTTAAGTGATAAAGTTAAGGGGATACTGTCAAGATTTAGTATGCACTAATTGGACCTACCTTTATTTACTTAAATCTGTTTGCAAAGTCCATCTAATTCTATATATGGGAGGGTTTGCTCAAACACATGCTTTAATGAACCTTATTCTTTCACAAGAGCACAGACTTCCTTTTGAAGCTTTCAGGGAATTGTATAATTTATTTTTAAAATACTGAAAATACCTTACTAGCATAATTTTAACTATACCAAGCGTGATGCAGTCTATCCTTTATTGTCTTTTGTTTTAAATGCTAAACACAAAGCACTTAATAAAATCCTAACTTAAGAATTTCTAGTATTCAGATTTTGCATGGCTGACATTACTTGGGTCTCTCCCATCATGGTGGAGTTTGAATATCCTCACCAAAGGGTGCAGAAACATCTGTCGAGGTCCCACGCCTAAATTTAATCACCTGCTTGCAGTCTCTTGTTGAATAAAGCATTTCACTGCAACCTCAGTAAAGGGCTTGCTGTGCTGTAATACGAATAAAAAGCTGCTTTGGTTCTTGCTTTTAAGATGCATTTCAGACCCTCCAAGGTAATTCGATAGTTGGATTCTTTAGATGTCAAGCAAGTACTGGGGGAGATCTTGAAGCACTCAATGGTGATGATACTTTCTCTCTTGAACTAGCCCCATTAGGCCATTCCTCTGTCTGTAAAGACCTGCGCCAGAGGGGTTTTCTAGGAAGGGTGGTAGGAAAGCGGCTTTCATAGTAACGGACTTAACGGGAGAGCGTCTCTCTGAACATTAGACCGTAAACCCGTGACGGGCGTGCACGCAGAGGTTAGGAGGGGCCGTCCCTTCGGCGAGAGGGTCGGAAGGAGCGCGGCGGGGCTGGGCTCCGCTACGCGCTCCGGGGCGCGGAGAGC